TTGATGTAAAAAGTCCACTTTCAAGTTGGTGGACGATCAATTTCTGTATGTCAGATATTTCCTCTGAAAGGGTCAAATTATTAGAGTGTAAAACTTCAATCGTTGTCAGAGGCAAGTGGTGATTAGTTATTTTCCAAAGGAATAAATCAGTTATGTACTCATTGGTTGAAATTGTGATTGAGTTCTATGATATAATTGACCTTTTCCTTGTCACTAAATATCGTAGAGCATTGCGTAATTGGCTTTTGAGTTTTGAGACGACCACTTGCTAATTAAGCACCTTAAAAAGAGGGGTTTTTTTTTTTTTGGAGAAAATTAGTTTTGAAATACTGATTTTTTTTTTTTAAAAAAAATTATAGTTAAAAAAGTAGAAAAAAAAAGTTTTGGATTTATGTGCAGAATACTTTATTTTGGGAATGTGCGGTTGAAAATGAATTTGAAAAAAAAAATGAATTTTGGTTTCAAATACTTTGGTTGGTGATTGTTGAGGTTGGACAATAATTAAGAAATTAGCTGGGGTGATAACAAGCCAAGTCAAAGAACGAGGCTCAATCCCTTCTATAACGTTATTTGATGGACGATAGCTATTTCATGAATGCCTTCTCCCTTTTGTTTAATCTACTTTGTAAATTATGAGAATGACATTTGTTAGACTTTTTGAACTTGTATGATTAAGATCACTGCTTCAAATATCTAAAAATCAAAGTGATGCTTTTTATACCAGACATTCAAAGGCTTGACTCTCGTTGTGTAGAATTGTAATCTTCATAATTTTAAGTTATGTAGCCTAATTATTATCGATCCTCATTATTATCACTTTGTGGAATTGGCCTTAGATCTTCCATCGCGGGGAGATCGCCGAGGGATTGGAACCCTCCTGTCCCTAGACCAAAATTTAATCTAAGGACGATTTAGGAAGTTGTATTCTTATAAAATTCTATAAAGAAATTTGACTCCTTGAAAAATTCGAATTTACCCCAATTTATCTTATAAATAGGGAGTTGCCCTTGACCTTTATGATTATCATAAAAAAGAGAGAACAAGATGATAGAGAAGATAAGAGTGTGCTTTTCTCTTATAAACCATTTTTTTATCATAGTGAATAACTGTAACGGCACGATGAGACGTAATCTTAAATTGAGGTAAACCTCTATAAATCTTGCGTGTTCATGAGTGTTTTTTCTTATTTTCT